TGTGACTGTGACTACTGGTTCATTGCATGGAGTTACCACTGAGTCTGTGGTTGTAGCTACTGGTTCACTGCATGGAGTTACCACTGGAACTGTGGTTGTAACTACTGGTTCACTGCATAGAGCTACCACTGAAGCTGTGGCTGTGAATACTGGTTCACTGTATGGCATTACCATGGGAGCTGCGAGTGTAGTTACTGGTTCATTGCATAGAGTTACCACTGAATCTGTGGCTGTGACTACTGGTTCACTGCATAGAGTTACCACTGAAGCTGTGGCTGTGAATACTGGTTCACTGTATGGCATTACCATGGGAGCTGCGAGTGTAGTTACTGGTTCATTGCATAGAGTTACCACTGAATCTGTGGCTGTGACTGTGACTACTGGTTCACTGCATAGAGTTTCCACTGGAGCTGTTGCTGTGACTACTGGTTCACTGCACGGAGTTACCACTGAATCTGTGGTTGTAGCTACTGGTTTACTGCATGGAGTTTCCACTAGAGATGTGGTTGTGACTACTGGTTCACTGCAAGGAGTTACCACTGAAGCTGTATCTGTGACTACTGGTTCACTGCATGGAGTTGCCACAGAAGCTGTATCTGTGACTACTGGTTCACTGCATGGAGTTGCCACAGAAGCTGTATCTGTGACTACTGGTTCACTGCATGGAGTTACCACTGAAGCTGTATCTGTGACTACTGGTTCACTGCATGGAGTTACCACTGGAGCTGTATCTGTGACTACTGGTTCACTGCATGGAGTTACCACTGAAGCTGTGGTTGTGACTACTGGTTCACTGCATGGAGTTACCACTGAAGCTGTGGTTGTGACTACTGGTTCACTGCATGGAGTTACCACTGAAGCTGTGGTTGTGACTACTGGTTCACTGCATGGAGTTTCCACTGAAGCTGTATCTGTGACTACTGGTTCACTGCATGGAGTTACCACTGGATCTGTGGTTGTAGCTACTGGTTCACTGCATGGAGTTACCACTGAAGCTGTGGTTGTGACTACTGGTTCACTGCATGGAGTTTCCACTGAAGCTGTATCTGTGACTACTGGTTCACTGCATGGAGTTACCACTGAATCTGTGGTTGTAGCTACTGGTTTACTGCATGGAGTTACCACTAAAGCTGTGGCTGTGGCTGTGACTACTGGTTCACTGCATGGAGTTACCACTGAATCTGTGGTTGTAGCTACTGGTTTACTGCATGGAGTTACCACTAAAGCTGTGGTTGTGACTACTGGTTCACTGCATGGAGTTACCACTAAAGCTGTGGCTGTGACTACTGGTTCACTGCATGGAGTTACCACTGAAGCTGTGGTTGTAGCTACTGGTTCACTGCATGGAGTTACCACTAAAGCTGTGGCTGTGACTACTGGTTCATTGCACGGTGTTACCACTGAAGCTGTGACTACTGGTTCATTGCACGGTGTTACCACTGAAGCTGTGGCTGTGACTAGTGGTTCACTGCATGGAGTTACCACTGAAGCTGTATCTGTGACTACTGGTTCACTGCATGGAGTTACCACTAAAGCTGTGGCTGTCACTACTGGTTCACTGCATGGAGTTACCACTGAATCTGTGGTTGTAGCTACTGGTTCACTGCATGGAGTTACCACTGAAGCTGTGGCTGTGACTACTGGTTCACTGCATGGAGTTACCACTGAAGCTGTGGTTGTGA